GTTTTTAACTTTTAGGTATCCCTGTCCCCATCCCCGGTCTCCGGTTTTGTTGGAATTGTTGACCCTGTCGGGGCACGTACACTGCATTCTCCAACGAGGGCGAGTCTCATTCCAATACATATTCATGTTAAGTGAAATGTATATTTTGTTTTGTGTATGTCATATTTAGCAAACTAAAGGGTTGTTATATTGTTTACCATTAAGTTTAATACAGATTAAGCTGTCTGTCTTGATTAAGTTGTAGGTATAATTTAAGTTAACTTGTTTCGATTATTGTGCTAACTAAACAATCTGAATCAGAAATAACTATTTTAACTCAATGTTCATTAAACACCAACTAAAATAATTGTTTGATAAAAATGTTCAACGATTGAATTTGAATGATAAACAATCAATTGAACGTTCGACAAGGATCTTGATTCTATAAGTAACACCATTCTATGTGATTTACCCTCGATTTGTCGAGCAAAACGTCTATAACCTAAACAGGGGTCTTGATTCTCTTGTGATTACTCCAACTTCTTAGGCACGGAAAAAGCAACAAGCTAAACAGGATTAGGAAAGTGTTACAAGTTATACACCGATGTGCTTTCAACTATGAGGGGGCACTTGGTTCGAATCATATGAAAAAATTTAATCGGGAATTCGGGATGGAGATGAAGAAAAACATAGAATCACAATGGTGATTAAGATAAACATCGAACCAGAACGAAGATGTACCATAATCAAAGGGTTGATTTTGCAAAACCAATAGCTGCCATCGTTGATTGAGCTCGAAAGTTGATTCTACAAAATCTAAGGTTGTCATTCTTGACTGAAATTTGGGGATGTTATTTGAATGTTGAATAAGGTTGCCATGGCGAATATCTTTTATGTTGAATGTTCTATGAAATTGAGAAACAACCATTGAATGTTCTTGGGATGCAGGATGTTGAATGTTTTGCAAGAGGATTTCGAAAGGGATGGGGATGGGGATGGGGATGGGGATGGGGATGGGGATGATGAAGAAAGAGTGGAAGGGTAAAATATAAACAAATAAATAGTTGAATCCAAATGATTCTATTTTTGTTTTGTTTTATTGAATAGGCCACTATCTTACAGAATAAGCCACAACTAAATACCCACGTATGACATACCAAACAAGCCATACATGTTATTAAGTCGATATTGAACAACTCCTAAGTGTTTTAGGGGTTGTTTGTTTACTGCTTAATAGTTTCATTAAGAGACAATTTCTGAATCGCTAAGAAGTGGATCTTGTTTGGCAAAAAAAAAGTCTGTCTCTTAATGGTTCTAAAATCCCGTGAAGGGTTTTGTATCATGGATCTCCTTTAACCATCCAGTACCATAATTTCATTGTAATAATTACCAAACAATTATATTTCATTTTGCACCATATCATGATAGCCCTTTTAATCATTCTGACTACTTAGGGTGTTTGGGATTGCTTATTTGAAACAACTTATGTTTTTCTACAAAAGTCTTTATCAACTTATTATAAGTTGGAATGGTTTGACTTCTTCAAAAACTCCTTATTACCGGTTTGACACCGGTATAAGCTGTTTATCCACAAACTCAAAAATGTTTATTACCGGTTCCACACCGGAATACGTCAATAAGTTGTTTTTATAAATAATCCAAATTTCCAAACACCCCCTTAATCATTTTGCATCAAATTATTCAACAACTGTCAAACATCACCTTCAATTTTACAAAACATCATCTCATACTTTTTAATATCGATACCTCTCCTTCAATCTATCACCTCTTCGCCGATGTGGATAACCAAAACCCAGTACCATAATTCAACATTTGAAACTCTAGAAAAAAAAAAGCACATGTATATATACACACACTTAAACCATGATTTTTTTTTTTAATAATTTTAAAATCTAAAACTTCTATAATTTAGGGGGTTTTAATATATTTGGCTACTTTATACAAAAAAATGAAACATCAACATGAGTTGTTACACACCCTTTTAATTTAGTAAAACATCTACCACTCCTTTAATATAAGAAGTTGTGTCTTTTTTCTTATTAACCTCGATATCCAAACCGCTATGCGAGCCGACTAATCCCAGGACGACCACCTGCTTTGCAGATAGCCCAGAGTCACCACATTTAAACTCCGTGGCCACAAAGAGATTTTTATTCCTACTTGGATTTGAACCTGAGAGCCAAGCTCAAAGCAACCAGGCACCACCCTTGTGGTTATTAATTAGTTGTGTCTTTCTTAACCGACATCTTCGTAATGAATATGTTACGATATTAATGATGCATAATACGTCTATAATTTTAATAAATGTGTTGTATTTCACATTGGACAATACCCGGATCCTAACGAAATTAGTCCCATGTATGCATGCATAGAAGGTTTGTGTTGGATTTAGTCTTGATTGGGGAACTGAATCTAACTAAGAATGCTGGGTAGAGTGGCTTTATGGGTGGCTGTGTTGAGTAAAAAACCCACCGCTGATTTCTTTTTGGAAGGGTGGGGG